GAAAAGCTCATTATGAATGGAGTGTGGAAGTTAAAGGGTGAGTCAAATTACATGAACTGAAGGGATAAATAGGAATATATTGTGAAGGGTTTTCTTAGCCCTAAAAAGACTTTGAACCTTTCTTTTATAATCAAGGCAATCATTGCGTGATTTTCATGAGGGAACTGATATACTCAAATTTGAATTCCAGAAGAGTCATTCAGACTATGTGAGAAATGAACTAGACAGTAAAAAAGCAAAAGTGAGACTAGTCAGAGGTTGTTGCTATAACCTAGGCAGATGATCATGACAGCTTGAAATCAGCATTTTGAGAGTTATTCAGTAAGCAAGGTCAGTATACTAAGTGAATGACTGTTTAAGAAGATTGAGGAAGAAGCAAAATTCAAATCTAAGACACATGTTGAAGTTTGGGCAACTAGATGGTGATGAGGCCATGCCATGAGATGTGGTAACAAATATCAGATGTATAGCTGATTTAGAGAGAAGAAAAAGGGTTGCAGTTTTGAATTCACTAAGCTTGAGATATTTGTGAGAATTACAGGGGATCAACTGGATCCATGAGTCTGGAACTTAGTAGAGAGGCATGAGATGAAGTAAAGACTTTGGAATTATTAATTAAGTTTTAGCTGATTTCTTAAGGTCACAAAAGTTGATGAGACTTACTATAAACAGCATGTAGAGTGCGGAAAGAATTGTTCCCTATGCAGAACTCTGAAAAACTCCAATATTATGTGTAAAGGTAGAAAAAAGTAAACTGTAATGGATCTAGAGGAGTTACGTTGTTAGGAAGAAGACCTGAACAATGTGGTGGCAGTAACCTGGAGATAGATAAAATTGTAGTTGAATCCATCCTAAGTTGGAATACTACCAGGTGGTTGTCATAAAAGAAAAGAGAGGCAAGGATTGGCAAAATTTTATTGAAGTGATCAGAAGGTGGAGACTGTGACAGGGAGTCAAAGAAATACTTGAAGAGATAAACGGAAAAATGGAAGGGGGAAAAAACCCAGAAATTCTTGATAAGATTGAAATATAAGTTAAAGGAACAAATAGAACACAGTAAAGTTGCAGTCAGCATAGCAGCATGGGGGATTTTTTTTTTCATATTTTCACATTTAACAATTACATTACAATGTATACATATATTTCTATTGAAAGCAATTGAGGACATGCAGGACAATAGAGGGTAGAGCATTGACATGTCTCCTCATCTTCCCCATCATCAATTTCTTTTCAAAGCATCCACTCTCAACTGTTTGGTGTTCTTCCTTGTGAAAGCTTGTCTATGAATTTTTATATACATACGCATGGATGCATTGATGTATTTTTACAAATGTGGATTGTGATATTTTGATAAAAATTCAGTTATTTTATATATGTTGTTAATTGACTCTTTCCAATTATCAGCATTTCTTAGTGAACTTCCATATCAGCATCTTTACCAGACCTCCTATATGCTGTTCTTTATTAGACAATGCCAAAAATTTAGCCATTTCCTATTGTTGGGTGACTGAGTTACTTGAAACTCAATTTTAAATCAGATGCTTAAGAGATTATTCATAGTGAATAATGACAAAGTCCAGGGTAAAGGCATTGAATTCGATGGCAAAAATAGCCTGGGAAGACCTTGGTGATTTAAAAAAAAAAAAAAAAGAAAAAGAACAGTACTGAGGGACTAGTGTTGTAGTTGCCACTATCAGCAACACTGACATCTCATATGAGTGTTGATTCAAGTCCTGGCTGTTCGTCTACTTCTGATCCAGCTCCCTGCTAATGTTCCTGTAAAATAGCCCATGTACTTGGTGCACTGCCTGTCATGAGGGAGACCCAGTTGGAGTTCCCATTTCCTGACTTCAGCCTGGCCCAGCCCCAGCCATTGTGGACATTTGAATAGTGTTCTCTCCCGCCTCCAACACCCCATGTGTGTATGCATGTGTATGTGTGTAACTCTTCCTTTCAAATGAATAAATCTTAAAAACAAACAAAAAATCAAACCCCTCCAAAATACAGCACTGAGTTATTCTGGTTGTGGGGTAGCTTAAAACCAGGGTAATTGAAGGCACCCAGGTGAAGGCAGAGAAATTGTGATGGAAAAAATGATGCTGAATTTTAAGTTAAAAGGGCAATGAATAAGTATAAAGTAACAGGAGCATTGTAGATATCAATAACAAAGAGGTGCTGAAATCACATGATGATGTAGAAAGGACCATAAGAGATTTTGCTGCTGCTTTTATTTTATTTTTTCACTGAGATATAACTAGGATTCTTTGGAAGGAGCACTAGAAACATATTAAGGAGGATAATGACTGTGTCTTTGATAGCAAAGAACAATGAAGAGGAAAGAGAAACTTCTAATGGAGCTTACTTTGTCCCAAATATCATCCTCCAGGCACTGTGAAGGTATCTGAAGGCTGAATCCAGGCAGAGCAATTCATAAAGGGGTTGAGGCTGCAGGGGATTTAAAATGGATGGGAGGGTCAGATCCATGTAGTACAATGGAAGAGTTTGTGGTTGGGAAGGCATGGATATATGTGTTTTTGGGAAAAGGAAGCCTCAGGCAATGTGGCGTTTGAGAGAAGAGGCAGGATTTGAACATGGAGAGTGAGGTGATAGTTTACCTGCTCTCCTGATTTTCTCTATCACTAGTCTTTCCAGTACCAGGAGAAGCAGTGAGTATGAGAGGATTCAGGCCTCCCCGGAGTTGTTCATGATTGGGGGCGTGATGCTCCTGAGAAAAGTTTGGTCACAGTAAAGAGCTGACAATGATAATAAGTCCCTGGATCTGCCATGTGCACAAGACACAGCCCCTCTTTCTATGGGGTGGTGACTGTAAGAGTAGCACTATGTCCACACCACACAGTCCTCTCCACAGGTGATTGTCTTCCCCATCTTTAAACTAAGCAAATATACTAAATTATCCCCCATGGTCATGATCTCTCTTTCCAAGTAGTATGCCACCCATATGTAGGACTGTCTGGCCTACAGGTGAAATGATTTGGTCAGTTTCTGCCAAGACAACCACAGGTGAGAATCAAGATTCAGTAAATCTGTAGCAGGCTGATTTTTAAGCTGACAATTTTGTATGGCTCATGAATGATATTATAAATATCCAAATGGCCTTTGGTAGAAAAAAGTTTCTCCACCACTGAAAAATTTTCTTTTCCTTCTTCAGAAAATTATACTGTAAACAAGACTAGCATTGGCAAAGAATTCTCAGTGTTGAAAGTTCTGAGTTTTTAGAATTTTATATGAGATGTGATATTTATTTAAATGTTTTTGTTTCTTTGCTGTTCTTATTCCATGATGGCTAGACAACTATCCTTGAGTTTGCTTATCTATTTCTGTACCATTCCATTAATCACTCACAAAATCATTAATTTTCCTGTGTACTATTGCCTCCTGAGGTTTGCTATTTCTGAGTCAATAGAGCTAGAAGCTAATATATATTTCACAAACATTGCAAGGAAGGGGGTTTAGGGCATGAATCAAGATTTTCCTTTTTACTATAAGATGGGCTATAAAATTTCATTTCTTTACTATATATATATTTAAGAAATAAACTCTCATATTAGAGGCAAGCCTATCAAACAGAGTTATGTTCACACATTAAACAATTGAAACCTACTGTGTGCCAAGCACTGTAAAGGAGAAGGAAGAAACATGAAACATAGGTTTAACCTCAAAGTATTTACAGTGAAGAGGGAGACCAAAAACAAGCATGCAAACAGGTGAATGAAGATAAAAATCTACATATTTTTCTCTAATGAAAGAAAAAGCGTTGTAAAGTAGAACTAAGTGGACAAGTGAATTGTACAGACAAGATTTGCCACAGACTTTGAAAGTAAAGTATATTGTTTCAGGATATAATACATATGGAAGGCTTTGAGGGAAAATCTTATTTCACATATTAAAAAGAGATTTATTTATTCATTTGAAGGGCAGAGTTACAAGGTGAGAGAGAGAGAGAAATGCTTCCATTCACTGGTTCACTCTTCAAATGACTGCAACATACAGGGCTGGGCCAGATCTCCCTTATGATACAGGGGCTTTCAACACTTGGGCCATCATCTGCTCCTTTCCCAGGTGTATTAGCAGGGTGCTCAGTAGGAAATGGAGCAACTGGGACTTGAACTGGCACCATTAAGTCTACCTCTTAAAGTATATGGATAGGGTTGGGAAGGAAGGGTATAAGGTGGACTTCTGAGAAAGGTCTGACTATTTACATGAGGGTAACAAAATGCATGGCCCGTGTCTAGTAGAGGCTGTATGAATGGGAACACCAGGAGATGGAACCAGAAGAAGGGGGAAATAGAAAATAGGGTAGAGGAATCTGGACCACTCTTCAGGTGATGTGTGCACAGAGCTAGGGCAATGGAGCTCTGCTATAGGAAGATATTTTGAGTGGCAAAAGGAATGAAGAGAGCATGAAAGCAAGGAGACCATGAGATGATGAGAATGAAGTAAGAGTGAGTGAACAGATATAAACAGATGTGGAGCTCTGGAGAAGGTGAGAGAAACCCCAGGAAGAAAATTGACTGACTCAGCCATCCAACCTCTTCCTGTCCCCATTACACAAGTTTTCAGGCTGTTGCACACACTGATTCCTCCTTTTGTCATACTCTTCTCCCATAGTTTTGTATAGCTAGCTTTTTCTTGTTTTCCATGCTGTTAAAAAGCTCTCTCTCTCTCTCTCTCTCTTTTTTTTTTTTATTATTTAAGACCTTTATTAGCAGGTGCTTTCAGTTTGTTGACTTTTTTGAAAAAATCAAGTTGTAAACTTTTATTACAAATTAAAAATGAAGTTCTTAAAAATCTCAACTTGACCAGATATGAAACAATTTAAAAACCTTTAAAGGTGTATTGAGAAAAACCAGGCTTTTTTAAAAAACACATTTGTCGTTACCAAAAAGAGACATCTTTAGGTAAAAATAATAAAAACCCCATGCTGCATAGATAATGCAGATAGTCCTAGTAATCTGGTCAACAGGCAAAAAGCAAGCACTTAAGGTCTTCAGCTCCAATCTTTTTTTCATTTCTTATTGCTGGAATTTCATATTCATTTCTTCTTGTTGGATGACTAAACCGGATGATGGTAGAGATGTTAAGCCGGCATTTACTCAGCCCCGCCCTGCTCAGCCTCGGGAGTGGACGAATTCTCAGCTGGTGGATCGGCTGCTTTTGTCTCTTTGCCATCTTGTGGTTTAGGGTTATCTGGGCATCTGCGTCGGTAGTTGAAGTTGCGGTGGTACCGACGCTGAGGTGGCTGCTGACCCTGGGTCTCATCTCCTTGGTTTTCCTTATCTTCTTCATTGCCGTCCTCTCTAGGCTGTCTTTGGGAAGGAGGACCTCTGCGGAATCGTGGTCTATAACCTCGATACATATTCTGTCTCACTGGTCTACCTTGTTCTCCTGCACCCTGGTTGTCAGCACCTTCCATCACTTCTCCCTGCACAGGAGGGTTGGAATACTGTGGTCGACGCCCATAGGGTCTCCGCATGTAGTAAGGTGGGAACCTTCGCCTGCGGTAGGGCTGGCGTTGTTGGGCCTGGCCTTCGGGAGTGCTCTCCGAGCCCTCATTCTTTTCCCCACTCTCACTATTCTGGTAATTCTGCTGGTAATTGCGTGGAGGACCCCTACGACGTGGGTAGCATCTATAATGGTTACAGTCTGCTGCATATTTACTGCCTTGCACTGGAACTCCACCAGGACCTGTAACATTTGCTGCCTCCGCACCCTTTTCTCCTTCAACAACATCAAACTCCACAGTCTCTCCATCTCCTACACTGCGAAGGTACTTCCTGGGGTTATTCTTCTTTATGGCAGTCTGGTGTACAAATACATCTTCCTTGGTGTCATTCCTGTTGATAAAAAGCTCTCTAAAATTTTTGTTAAGTTAAACTGTCTTGTTCTCTTTGTAAATTATTTTACTATAAAGTTATCTTACTTATTATTCCTCCACTCATTTTCTCAAAAGGTTTATTTATTTATTTGAAAGGTAGAGTGACAGAGGGAGGAAAAAAGATCTTCCATTTGATGGTTCACTTTCCAGATGGCAGCAATGGCTGAGGCTGGGCAGGGCCAAGCCTAAGTCAGGAGCCTGTAGCCTCTCCCATGTGGGTGGCAAAGGTCCAAGCACTTGGGTCATCATCTCCTGCCATCTCAGGTGCATTAGCAGGGAACTGAATTGGAAGCAACTGTGATTCGAACCACTGCTGTGCTGGCTTAACCCACTGCACCACAATGCTGGCCTCTCACCACAATGCTTGCTTATAAAATTACTCCCTCAAATACATATAAGCTCCACAAGCAGAACTCTTGGCTGCAAAGTCTCATCATGATAATTTACAGCACCTAGAATAATGACTGCATGTAATTGGTGCTCAATAAATGCTTGTTGATGAGAGAGAAGACTGAAGGAGAAGGTGCAATGGTGTAAGCATAATTTCTGCAGATTGTCATCCACATTATTATTACGTGTAAGGTGTGATAATGAGTTTATGCTTGAAAAATTGCAAATTAAAGTTTTGGTGCCAATGAGAAACAGAAGATGTTACCCCTAGGAAATTAAATGTTGCACAAAAGAAAATATATGAGAATCTTAGTTCCCTTATCCAAAATGCCCATAGGACTGATGAAAAATTATTTCAAATCCACTAAAAGAATGTTTCCTACAGGTTCTAATATACCAGCAATATCTCCCAAGGTCCCCTTCCTTCCAATGCCAATATTCTCATAATTTTAAGTTACTGAATTCATAATCCAAATCAATATTCTTTTCATATAAGTGCTCAGCCAGGATAGTCATACAGTTATTCCACTAAAACTCCCAATGTCTAAAATATTTATGGATGTTACCATAGGGACCAATATTCACAGCCTGTTTCAAGAACCACATAATTAAATATATCTCATAACTTTATACACTTCAGTTTTTGTTTAAAATTTTATAGCAGAAATCTCTAATTTTTAAAAATAAGCATTGCAATGTGTGCTAAGACTGAATTGGGTATCTTTTGTACAATCAAGCATTGTGCAATGAAAATTCAGAAATGTGAGCGTAACTTCGGGTTAAACTATTCATTTGTTTTTAACCAAGGAGTGACCAAATCAAGATAAAAGTCTGAAATTTTTATGTCCCTTTTGCTGTGTAAAATAATATCATGAGTAGAAGGCATCTCAGGGATGTCTGTATGCTCATATTTCAATCTGATGAGTAGGCTCCAACTGAATCTTATTAGGAGGCAGTAGAGTCAAAGGTCATCCACACCCAAGAAAGGGAACTGAAGAGTGTGAATTATACTCCTGTGTTTGTAGTAGGTGGAAAATGTTCATTACATGAGGGTAGGAGAGGGAGGGGAGGATGAATCAATGACTCACGCTGACTAGTAGTGATGAAAATTGCTTCTTAATCCAAGCAGGACTTATTTATGCTTAGGTGAAAAAGCCAGAAACCGAAGTTTGATTATAAAAGGTTATGGTTTCCTGTTTTGAAAAGATTTGTTCCCATTCATTCGCCACTATTCAAAATATTCTTAGCAGGAATCTAAGCATGCTGCGAGGATCTCAAAAAGAAGGCTTAAACAGTCCCATTCAAGAGATAGCTGTGCCTTAAATGCACAGAACTGCAGAAGAGTGGTATCATGGGAACATTTGTTGAGGAGCATAGGAGGTGGGGGATTGAGCAGAAGGAAGGAAGCAGTAGCCCCAAAGGAAGAGTGTGGAAGAAGCAATTCAAGGGTAAAAAAGAAGACCATGCTTAACTTTGTAATTTTGTTCCTAAAACCTTGCTCAAATGTCACTTTCTTCCAAAAAAGAAAGGAAAAAGGAACCTTAAAACCAAGGAAAATAACTTTGGCAGTGTTTCTATTTTCTACAAAGTCCTGCAGTCCAGCCTGAGAAAATGCCTTTGATCTGGAAACAAGTTAGATAAAAATTCCCATGGGGTAAAGCTATTGTGAAGTGATTATTGACTTTCTCTCTCTCTCAAAAAAAAAAAAAAAAAAAAGCCACCTATACCTTGTACAATTGCACAGTCAGTCTGGCTATTAAGTTCTGCATTAGACATGACTCAGAAGATCCAGTGAAAGTACTTTTACTATCAGGTGAAGAACTGAACGCTCCACAGCCTATTTAACATAGACGAAAGCAGAACTTCAGGCAGAAGTAGAAGTTTATTGCTTGATCCTATTGTCTCATCTTCTAAGGTGTTTATAAATAGCTGATAGGTTTTATCTCAGTGACAAAGCTAGGATTTTTCTCTTTTACATGACATGAAAGGAGTTTGACTTTCATTTTCTCTGTGGAACTTGGAGCCTCTGGATGATGTTGATAACAACACCTTACAAACTCATACAAGGCATGCCCCTTGTCTCTTTTCTAGAAGCAATGACTACTCATTTTCATCTATCAGACTCTGGCAAGGCAGTGCAACCAGTGAAGTATTAATAAATGATGTTCAGTGTTAGTTGACAATGATAATTGCAATGGCGATGATAATGATGATAGTGAATTTAATTTGATTCAAAAATAAGTCTGTGTGTGTGTGTAAAATATATTTCAAATTGTATTCATTCTTGAGCAAGGGTCTTTCTGAAGATAAAGATGTCATGTTTTTATGCATACTCTGTAAAAAGAAAGCTTCCAGTTTCCTATTTCCCATATAAAAATTCTAGGGCAAGATTGTATCACCAATGCTTACATTTAATTTTAATCAGTAGTCATTTCTGAGGTACACAATGAAACGCTTCAGTAAAAGTGGTGGGAAAATTTATTGGTCTATCAGTCATTGCAAAAAAAAAAAAGACTTCTGTCGCTCCCCCTCTTCGTGGAGGAACGACATAGGACCCTGCGCTGTTCTTTCGTCTGCTCGGCCCTCCCCGGGTTTGCTGCTGGTTCTTCCCGGGTTGGCTACTATCCCTTCCACCTCCGTGGAAGGGCAGTTCCCCCTGGCCACATTCCCCACTTCCGCAGGGGAGCGGCACACCGCCGGCCAGCTTTCTCGGGGGCTGCACGGGTTCCCTTAGATGTTCCCCATAGATGTTCCTGGTGCATGCCGTCTCTCTCCTCCTTTATAGTCCTCCTCCGCCAATCCTAACTCGGCTGCCCACACGCCGAGTACGCTGCTCTCCTCCAATCAGTAGCAAGTCCTACAGTTTATTGGTTGAACTGGAGGCAGCTGTGCGGAAGCTGTTTACTTCTCTCCCAGCGCCATATTGTGGGAGAGCAGATGCATAGAATAAGTCTTAATTCCAGTAACTCAGTCTAGTCCGGTTTGCTCCCCACAGATCCCCCTTTCTTTTTATTTTTGGCGTTGATACGCGCCTGTCTTCGGTGTCCCGCGGCACACACTCTGCTCTACTTGCTAGAGTTGCCACAGGCTCTTACAAGTCCTATCAATCAGGCAAACCGAATCCGGGTCCTCTCTTCGCCATGTTGTGAGGAGGTTTTTAGGCGCTGATGCGTGCCTGTGTTCGGTGACCTGCGGCTCACACTCTGGTCGAGCCGCCTGCTGGCGCTTACCGCCTTAATTAGGCAGACCGAATCCAAGCCTCCTAATTGTTGTATTGTGGGGGAAGCCTTACTGATGTTAATTCGTGCCTGTCTTCGGTGACCTGCGGCGCATAAGCTGCTAGCCGCCGCAGGTGCTCATCGCCTCACTTAAATCAGGCAGACCGAATCCAAGCTTTCTTATTGCCATGTTGAGGGGAGGCCTTTCTATTTCTCTATTTCTCTATCTCCGGGCATTCCTATTTCTCCCATTCCACTTCTATCTTCCAGCATTCCTATTTCTCTCACTTTACTTCTAAAACTTCTGTTTCTCTTATCCCTGCGGCTTCCCGGCGGCGCTCGCCCCGAGGCTGCTTCTCGGCACCTCGCCCCGCAGCAGCTTCTCGGCACCTCGCCCCGCGGCAGCTTCACGGCTCTGCGCGGCTTCCCGGCGCCTCGCCCCGCCGGCGGGTTCCCGGCTCTGCGCGGCTTCCCGGCGCCTCGCCCCGCGTTCCCCATCTATTCACGCCCCGTGCTCTCTCTGCACGCAGCGGCTTCCGCGAATGTTTCCGCCACCACCGGCATTCAGTCCAAGTTCCCCGGACTAACCTGGCGAATTTCAACCTGGCGGCCCACGTCTCTGCCTCTGGTTCCAGATCTTCGCCTCTTGCTCCCCGGGGTGACTTGAAGAATTCCAAGGTGGCTTATATCTCCGCCTCGGCCTGCACTCGCGGCTTCATCCTCCCTAACATTTTTCTCTACCCGGTATGTTTCCTTAAGTTTTCTTCCAACAATATTCCTCTCATTTCTCCTGGCTTCTCCCCACAGTCCGTATCCGAGTCCAAGCCTCCTCCAGGTTTCACTTTCGCTTTCAATCTCCTAGCTTCCCCGCCATAGTCCGCATCCGAGTCTATGAAAGCTTTCACTTTCGCTTTCAATCCTAACTTCTTTCCCACAGTCCATATCCGAGTCTATGCCTAGGCTTTCAATAGCTTCTTCTGGCACCTAGGCTCTTTGCTAGTCTCTCTCTCCGGTATTTTCCCACTTCTTCCCTCCTAAGTTTCCTATCCGAGTCACGGCACCATTATGTCGCTCCCCCTCTTCATGGAGGAACGACACTAAACCCTGCCTAGGCTTCATATCCGAGTCACGGCACCATTATGTCGCTCCCCCTCTTCGTGGAGGAGCAACATAGGACCCTGCGCTGTTCTTTTCGTCTGCTCGGCCCTCCCCGGGTTTGCTGCTGGTTCTTCCCGGGTTGGCTACTATCCCTTCCACCTCCGTGGAAGGGCAGTTCCCCCTGGCCGCATTCCCCACTTCCGCAGGGGAGCGGCACACCGCCGGCCGGCTTTCTCGGGGGCTGCACGGGTTCCCTTAGATGTTCCCCATAGATGTTCCTGGTGCATGCCGTCTCTCTCCTCCTTTATAGTCCTCCTCCGCCAATCCTAACTCGGCTGCCCACACGCCGAGTACGCTGCTCTCCAATCAGGAGCAAGTCCTACAGTTTATTGGTTGAACTGGAGGCAGCTGTGCGGAAGCTGTTTACTTCTCTCCCAGCGCCATATTGTGGGAGAGCAGATGCATAGAATAAGTCTTAATTCCAGTAACTCAGTCTAGTCCGGTTTGCTCCCCACAACTTCTTTTCAAACTGCATGGGTTACAGAAGTATGCTGAAATAGTAGATTTTTAACTTCTTCATAAATCTTTTCTCAGTCTCTAGGAATCTTCAACTTTAGCCTGTGCTGGGTTTCTTCTTGAATACTCAGAGTTACTGCTATTCTGGTCCAAGTACAGGTAAGATAGATGAATTTCATGTGTGGTTGGAAAATTTCCTTTTATTCCAATATGTTTTGAAAATTCCAATAGTAGAGGCACTGATAGGTACAAAAAGAAATTAAAACATAAGAAGAATCCATGCTTTCTTGGTTGTAACAGGGAAATCACAGAGTAAGACTTATTTTTTGTAAAAGGAGTCGAGATTTTCCAGAAAAAAAAAAAAAAAAGCTTTGCTGTGAAGGAGGGTAGAGAGCATTTCAGGAGCGGAACAGCTTGTGAAAATGCTTAGAACTGGGAAAAGGCAAAATATGAACTGAATGGAATAGCAAAATGATCAGAAGGTCAAGAAATTATGACTAGGAAGAACTCCTCTCAATATAACTTGGAAAATAAAGGGGCAGGTAGATTCTTGACCATCAACTAGATACTAGGACCCCTGGGAATAAGAGCTTTTAATTAGACTGTCCCATTATTAATGAAATCTTCAGTGATTCTCTGCTTGGTTTAAGCAGCACAGTTAAAACAATAGAGGAAGCAGCTTTGTAGAATTAAATAGTATTATCAAAATGGGAATAAAACAAAGTATATACGTTTCTAATTTCAAAATGCAGATCAGAGGGTAAATATCAAATGGTAATATCTGTATTTCAAAGGCACTGTTTATCACTAGTTTGCAACTTACTATTATTGGACTATTACTTCGATGATTAAACTTTTCAATTATGTGTTGCATTGTACTAGGCTTTATACAATCATTAATTAGTTCACTCACATAAAACCCAGTGAGGAAGCAGAGGGATTTTATTACCCACTGTTTCACAGATGAGAAAATAAAGGCAACAAGGTTAAATGGCTTCCTGAATTCTTCCTATCAGGTTGAGAGCCTGCAGGAAGGGAATCTGGCCCCCAGCATCTCCTGGCCTGGTATAGCTTCCTCAGTTCTACTCCTCCTCACGCTCTCCACTAATTGGGAATAGGTGCCCCTGGTGTTCTTGAAAATTAATAATGTTCGGAGCTACAAGATGTATTTCTTACAGTCTGTGTTTGTTTATTTCTGGTAATTAGCAACCATCTGCTCTGGAGATAAGGGTATTTAGGCCCACCTTTTTTTGAAGTATTGATTCCAAGAAGAGGTCCTTGCTATCATGGAAGCACAGCCTGACCAGAACTTCAGGTCCTCTGGAGAGATGCAGGAGGTTGCGTGTCAGACACTCCACAGGAAAGCCAATTGTAGTATCCCTTCCCACGTCTTGGTGCCTCCCCTTCTCCTCCATCCTCTTTTAATCCATGCTTGCTTTTTTAGTCAGAGTTCTCATCAGGCTAATAAAGAGGGTACTGAAGAGGCAGTGTGGTCTCCAAGACCTCAGCCCTTTTACCCAAAGACTGAACACAGTATATTTAAGAGGATGATCCACACTCACAATTTACTTGTTAATTCACCAAAATGGCATGGAACTGTTCTTGAGGACTGAAGTAAGAGGAACACAGCAGGAACATAAAGGAGCCAGGCATGGAAAAGCAGTTCCCTGGCTACCATGAGTGTTGCCAGTAGCCACTTAGTGGTAGTGTTTAGCACCTTCTGGGATGAAGAACTTGCCACTTGGCCTCTCTGAAATCAGTCAGACTAGAAAAATACATGGAAGAACTTAAACTCTGCTTCTTCTCCCAGAGAATACCAAGTGGTAGATGACGCTGGAGGGCCCAGAGACCCTGGGAGCACTGGAATGGGGGTCTGAGTTGGCTTCCATGGAGGTTTCGGCAGTGACAGCAGGGGCTATGGCTGTTGCTGGGGTTGGGCCAGGGCTGAGGACAAAGAGTTGCTCTCTGTCACCAAGCTGGGCTGCCTGCTTAAGGACATGAAGATCAAGTGCCTGGAGGAGACCTATCTCATCTCCCTGCCCATCAAGGAGTCAGATCCTTGACTTTTTCCTTGGTGTCTCCCTGAAGGATGAGGTTTTGCAGATTATGCCAATACAGAAGCAGACACAGGCTGGCCAGTAAACCAGTTTCAAGGTATTTGTTGCCATCAGGCACTACAATGGTCATGTTGATCTCGGTGTGACATGCTCTGAGAAGGTAGCCACTGCCATCTGAGGAGCCATCATCCTTGCCAAGCTTTCCATTGTGCCACTGCAGAGAGGTTGCTGGTGGGGAATAAGATCAGCAAACCCCACACCATGCCTTGCAAGGATGCTCTGACTCTGCTGTTGCCATATTCATGCTCCCCGAGGCACTGACATTGCATAGGCCTCTGTCCCAAAGAAGCTGTTGCTGTTGGCTGGCATTGATAACTGCTGTACCTGAGCCAGGGAATGCACTGCCACCCTGGGCAACTTTGCCAAGGCCTCTTTCAATGCTATCTTCAAGAAGCACAGCTATTTGACCCCCAACCTCTGGAAAAAAAGAAAGTGTTCACCACATCTCCCTATCAGGAATTTAATGACCATCTTTTGAAGACTCATACCAGAGTGTCTGTGCAGAGGACCCAGGCTCCAGCTGTGACTACAACATAGGTTTTCGGATAAGAAAATAAAGCGAAATAATCCTGCTAATAAAAAGAAAGAATTTAATGTGCAGATCTGATATGCAAGATGCAAACTCCTGGTTCTGTTCCTTGCTGCCAACTTGCAATGTGACCCAGATGAAGCAGTGCTTCCCAGGCTCACTGTGTACCTGAAGCTGAGATTTTGTCTTGCTTACTTAGGAGTCTGCATTTTTCTCACCTAAATGAATTTCTTCTTCCATTCTCAAGTCTGTCTGCCATTGTCTGGGATCTCCTTTTTTATCCTGATGATTCTGCTTTTCTAACACCCCTTTTCCATTTGCTGTCAGAAACCAGCACAAAGGACACCCCAGGCTTAAAGCTAGTAAAGTTGGAACTATCTGCTGCATCCTTCCAGGAATATTTGCATTTGTAAAGATGATGGTGATGGCTGAATCAATGAGATGGTTTGTCAGAGGAAAGACTCAGAATTATGGATGATTTACAATCATCTTGACTGTGGTGTACCCTTGCCTTGCAATTAATGATCTCTCAAATTCCACATTTAGTGACCTCACATTGGGAGCTAGACACTGTGTATGGTGGTAGTATTTACATGAAAATTGGTGAACCTCAGACATCAGGGCTTCTTTTTTTTTAACTTTTATTTAATGAATATAAATTTCCAAAGTACAGCTTATGGATTACAATGGCTTCCCCCCCATAACGTCCCTCCCACACGCAACCCTCCCCTTTCCCACTCACTCTCCCCTTCCATTCACATCAAGATTCATTTTCAATTCTCTTTATATACAGAAGATCAGTTTAGCATACATTAAGTAAAGATTTCAACAGTTTGCTCCCACACAGAAACATAAAGTGAAAAATACTGTTTGAGTACTAGTTATAGCATTAAATCTCAATGTACAGCACACTAAGGACAAAGATCCTACATGAGGAGTAAGTGCACAGTGACTCCTATTGTTGACTTAACAAATTGACACTCTGGTTTATGGCATCAGTAATCACCCTAGGCTCTTGTCATGAGCTGCCAAGGCTATGGAAGCCCCCTGAGTTCACCGACTCTGATAATATTTAGACAAGGCCATGGTCAAAGTGGAAGTTCTCTCCTCCCTTCAGAGAAAGGTACCTCCTTCTTTGATGACCCGTTCTTTCCACTGGGATCTCACTCGCAGAGATCTTTCATTTAGGTTTTTTTTTTTTTTTCCCCAGAGTGTCTTGGCTTTCCATGCCTGAAATACTCTCATGGGCTTTTCAGCCAGATCCGAATGCCTTTAGGGCTGATTCTAAGGCCAGAGTGCTGTTTAGGACATCTGCCATTCTATGGGTCTGCTGTGTATCTCACTTCCCATGTTGGATCGTTCTCTCCCTTTTTTATTCTATCAGCTAGTATTTGCAGACACTATTCTTGTTTCTGTGATCCCTTTGGTTCTTAGTCCTATCATTATGATCAATTGTGAACAGAAATTGATCACTGGGACTAGTGAGATGGCATTGGTACATGCCACCTTGATGGGATTGAATTGGAATCCCCTGGTATGTTTCTAACTCTACCATTTGAGGTAAGTCAGCTTGAGCATGTCCCGAATTGCACATCTCTTCCCTCTCTTATTCCCACTCTTATATTTAACAGTGATCACTTTTCAGTTAAGTTTCAGCACTTAAGAAGAATTGTGTATTGATTACAGTAGTCAACCAAAAGTATTAAGTAGAACAAACAAAAAAAAAATACTAAGAGGGATAACATATCAAGTTGCTCATCAACAGTCAGGGTGAGGGCTGATCAAGTCACCGTTTCTCCTAGTGTTCATTTCACTTTAACAGGTTTCCTTTTTGGTGCTCAGTCAGTTGTCACCTATCAGGGAGAACAGGGCTTCTTTTTTTAGAAAATCAAAGTTATTTTTTCTTTTTTTTAGAAAAAGATTTATATATTGATTTGAAAGTCAGAATTACAGAGAGAGGGAGAGACAGAAAGAAACAGAGACCCTCTATCTCCTGGTTCACTCTCCAAATGGTTGCAACAGCCAGGACTAGGCCAGGTCGAAGCCAGGAGCCAAGAGCTTCGTTCAAGTCTACCATGTGGGACCAGGAGAAGCACCTGGCTCCTGGCTTCGGATCAGCGTGGTGCACCGGCCACAGCGTGCCAGCTGCAGCGGCCATTGGAGGGTGAACCAACGGTAAAGGAAGACCTTTCTCTCTGTCTCTCTCTCTCAATGTCCACTCTGCCTGTCAAAAAAAAAAGTCTCCCATGTGGGTACAGGGGTCCAAAGACTTAGGCCGTTTTCCACCGCTCTCCTAGGTGCATTAACAGGAAGCTGGATCAGAAGTCATTCATTTGGGATACCTGCATTGCAGATGGTGGCTTAATCTACTTTGCCACAATGCAGCCCCTCTGGCTTCTTTCCTTGGAAAGCCATTTACCAGTACACCATTACCTTTAAGATCCACCGTGTAAATAATGGCCTGCTGTGTTGGCAATTATATGTGGTATTGTCTGGTTCCCTCTTTTTACTCACTATTCAAACTGTAAAATGTTCAACACACTGAACTGTAGAACTCACAATGTCCCTGGCCTGAGTGTTATTTGGGGCAGGTTGTAAAGTGGGCTTGAAAGCACCTACAATCCAACCTGAGTACCATTTTAAGTTGCTGGCATGTTCTTCGGAAAGGAGCTCAGCCATGTAACTGAGTGCTGTGAGGATTCGTCTCTGGTCTCTTCTAATCATCTACATAGCACAGACCAATGATTATATGCTAAACTTTCTTATCTGTTAGATGGAGACAATAATTTGCTCTCACATGGGTCTCACTGGCTTATCCTGAGAAGCAGATGAACAAATAACTTAAAAAGCCAGGAGTTGTACCTGTCTAGGATGAAGCACATGGGTTTGGGAATGAGAATGAATGAACTTGGTACAACACTTGGGCTTACCCATGATGAACCACATGACCAGCTACAGCTACATCAGTTCTAACATGCAGCTGTTGACACCAACTTATCAAGACGTATGGACGTATGTAATGATTGAATGAAGTAACCTTTTTTAAAAATAGTTATAACTCAATTAGAGGATGTTGCTATTATAAATAATGCTAAATAAAGACTTGAGGACATTATGATTATTTCATTTCAACATATGAAACACTCATCCTAGTGCTTGGTCTATAGTAAATGTTTAGTAATTTGTAAAATGGTTTTGAAACTAATCAGACTATTTTCAGTATAGTTA